AGTTTAAATGACAAAGTGACTGGAGATCGATACTCAGGAAAGCGCGAGTTCAAATTCTGACAGTTAATCTAATTGTTTAAATATTTATAATTTATTCATACACATTAAAGAATTATAGAACTTTATTGGCAATATCATATCATAACTATTACATTTTTGTCAACATCTCCAAAAATTATCGTAAAATAAATAAGCTAAAATCGATTATTATACAAGTGATAGCAATTTGATTTTTCTTCTATAAATCCAATATATATATTGTATAAATACTTCCTTATAATTCAATCAATATAATATAACGATGAATGTTATCAATAAAGGCTTCAATAATCCTGATGCTAATTGCATGCTGTTATAATTTACGTCAAATGATACGAGTTCTCCGGTTTGTAATGTGGTTTCCATTGAAACGTTTTAACAGCGATAAATTATTTAAACGTATCTAACTTGTTAAAGTTGATTTGCAAACATAAATTGAAGCATATCAAAGAGCTTATCGAATGGAACAGTTTTAATGTAGATTATTTATACACTTCGTTCAAGATTAACTTTTGTTTTCGTATATACCACGCTTTGTAAAGTATCTATCTTTATGCTTGAATATAGAACTGTTCTTTTTTCCAAAAGGTTAAGTTTCAAGACTATTTTTTTATTTATAATGATCCACTTTCAAATAACATTCACTTACAGTTGTTTAAGTTGTAAAATATATAACGGAAGTTGAAAAAATTACTGAAGAGGCGAAACCTCCTAGAATTCAATGGATTCACCGTGCGCGTGCCGCGGTCGGGTCCATTGCGATGCAGGGAGAGGAGCTTCAACAATTCCTGGAACTTGCGACCCAGGTGTAGGTTTTAGGGGGCCTTATCTAACTCTCGTTTAACGCTCATCTCCACCGTCCAAGCTCCTCTCTGTACCTAAAAAAAATTAAAATAACCTACTAGGACTGCCTTCAAAGTACGTTCCAAGCATGAATTGATATAAGTTCTGGACAGGCCCACATCTTTTAGTAGATTGTAGAGAGATTTAGCCGTCATACCTTATCGTTCCCACTTTTACCGCGTACAAATCCCTGATGAACCTATAAAAATAAACGTATATAAAAAAAAGATGAAATATTGTAATTGTTTCGATTTTTAGCTATAGTTGTAGTAAAAACATTAAAATCTTATTATTAGCTATAAAATTGCGAAACCCACAGAGAATAATAATTTATTCGTTCGGGCATTAAATGATAACTCATCGGTCTCTCATGACTGCAAAATAATTATTTCCAATAATCTGCAGAATCACTACTCATTACATTGTTGCTTACTGAGTTAATTTTATTATTGTATATCTCAGGTTCATGGCACTTATTGCTTATATATCAATTAAAATAATATATTATTGGAAACAATTTTACCTACTAATTGTAGGATAACACATGAAACTATGGAATCCATTCCATAAACCATTGGTGATATTACCATATAAAAATACTTTAAGAGTTTACAAAAACGTAGGACAGGAATCTTATATTCTTAAACAAGAGCTACTAAGTACCCGCAAAAAGCTGTCAAATTCGCTAAAATTATACTACAAATAAACTGTAATATCTAGGCTATAGAGTCTAATATTTACATTATACTTCCTGAAGATTCTCGTTTATCGGGGGAGCGATTGTCATTTCGGCCTCTTCACAAAGTATCTGTTCCCAGAAAATATTGTTTGCCATCTCTTGGGAATTTTTTTGGCAAGTGAAGAATGGTATATCATTGTAAGGGAAAACTCTGAGGTCTATTTAGGTAAATGATTGTGAGGGTTCGGTCAGGTAAGGTTTTAGTACCTTAGCGTTACTTAAATTTTCAGCAAAATTAGTTAACTGTTAGTTTTTGTAATATGACGTACTATTTAACAGAGAGGAAAATAATAATGGGAATTAACAAATTATTCTTAAACAATTTAAATTCAGCTGTACTGTAAATTTTCTCACTTGTAAGAAAAATTCTTACTTTTCCTTTCAATGCAATAACATTATTTTTATAAGTCTACTAGTAAACCCGGCGAACTTCGTTTCGCCACCAGAAGGCTTTTATATTATAACATTTCGTTTGGTGATTAAAAAATGAAGATTTTTTTTTGTTTTATATTTGAAAAGGAAAATTTTTATTTCATTTCACAACAGTAATGAATTCATTTCGATTACAAAAATGAAGTGTTATTTAGTTGAACTTCCCTAAGTAAATGAAAGTGAATCCAAAGTAGACACCGAATCGAAGCGTTATACGTGTCCGCAAATTATCCGTTTCATTGAAGTCTCCTTTGTAAACCACATTTTTTGTTTTTTGGTCTTACTTTAACACAAATAAAGCGGATAGTTTCCAAACTCGTGAACACGCAAAATATAACTGCCCATGTGAAAAACAATGATTTTCTAAATTTATTCCGCAAATACTAAATGGTTTTAACAGTTCAAACTACAAACACAATACCGGTTTGTCACATGAAATTAACTGAGAAGAGAACAATGAGTAGCTGTCAAACAATGTATCATGCGACGGAATCATCTACTTAAAAATACTTAATATTGATTTGTAGTACATGTTATGAAGATTTTCCCCCTTTTCTGTTTAAATTTTTTGTTGTCACGGAGCCCGAGACCTTTCCAACGAATACAAAGCCGTGGAAATTGGTTCTCTCGTTCTGAAGTTATAGCGTCAGGATGGAAAACCGGACTTATTTTTATATAGTAGATTTCTGAGAAATATCAAATTGTCATCCATACGTCATTACATATCTGTCATTATACGTCAATTGCATAGCTGTCAATTGTGTTTCGTTATTCCACATTTTATAGTGACTGACGTTTCATGTCAAGTCCCACGGGAATGCTGTCGAACGGGATAAAAAGTATTCTGTTGCATTGCATTTCCTGGTTCTAAACTACTTCCCTGCCAATTTTCAGCTAAATCGGTTCAGCCGTTCTTGAGTTATAAGTGGAGTAACTAACACGACTTTCTTTTATATATACATAGAAAGAAGGTTTTAGTTGATCAAGAAAACCAAATCATCTTTCTAAATTTCAATCATATTTTGATAAATATCATAAGCTTCCAAAACAATTCCATTAAATTATTTTTAGTATAAAACTTAATATCTAATTGTTTAAACATAGCACAACATGGACTTGAATTCATAATCACTGACACGGGAACAATAAATCCCTACTTTTGAAAGTCTTCCTAATAATTTATATATACGTCACAATTTAGAACAAAACTTTTTCTATATTTTATGCGCAGACACGTGCCCTCGTTATTTATGTTCTTTTTTAATGAATTATTCCAAAATTATTCGAATTTTTATTTAAATGAATTTATATAAACCGTAAGAACATAAAAGTCTTAAGAGATATATAGAGTCTGAATAAGACAGTATGAGGATACATACGGATCATATCTATCTACTAGCTTTTGCCGCGACTCCGTCCGCGTGGAATAGTGACTTACGGCAGATTTTTGGTTCTTCCCATATAGTTCCCGTTCTTGTGGGGTTTTCGGAATAGTCGAGTTCCCGTAGAATTTTCAGGATAAAACCTATATTTTTTTTATTCACAATGAAGTACTCTTAACCAACAACATATTTATTTGTTTATTTGAATAAAGATTAATATTATTATGTTGATCCAACTTAAACAAATTATTTCGACCAAATTAGGTACCATAAAAACGGTTTTTGTGAGTTAATCTTAAAAGATAGACATATACTGTCGCGGAGTGTTTTTTAGATCATTAAAAGAGCTATTATTCTTTAATACATATTTTTTGTGTATCTTGAACCGTTTTCACGGCGCACGCAACGGAAGGCTTCAAAGATGAAATAATTTCTCCCGTTTTTTAGACATTTACCACTATATCTTTGCTCCTATTCGTCGTAGCGTGATGTTATATAGCCTACAGCCTTCCTCGATAACTGGACTATCCAGCACAAAAAGAATTATTCAATTCGAACCAGTAGTTTCGGAGATTAGCGCTTTCAAACAAACAAACAAACAAACAAACAAACAATCAAACAAACAAACAAACAAACTCTTCAGCTTTATAATATTAGTATAGATAATATAAAAATGAATCGCAAAATGTGTTGGTAAGCAACAACGCCTGGACCAATCTGGACAATTCTTTTTTTTTAATGTTCTTTGAAGTCCAAGGATGGTTCTTATGGCGAGAAAAAATCGAATAATTGCCGGGAAAACCCTAAAAACAACCCTTTTGTTTTTCACATATAAACGTTTTCTAACTAAAACGTAGAATCAATTTGAGCTTTATTGCTTTTGTGTAAAGTTCATATTCAATTACAAGCACTGTTTTCTAAGAAATGCAGGTGTGTTCCTAACGTCAAAAAGTAAATTTGCACTTTCTTACCGCTATTCAAAGTTCAAATTCAATCATATCTATTAAAACAGTGTGCGTGTGTGCGTTGGAGCACAGAATACGTCGTTGGAAAAGTTAATGTCGCCAGGTAATCAAACAAAAAACATCATTTACCACAAAGCACTACAGTGAAAATAAATAACTGATTTATTTTGTTAATAATTATGATTTACATGATTAAAATTACTTCCTTTTAAATGCGCGATACATAAGCTGAGTTTGACGTTTGTCTATGATAAACTATTGTCTCTGTCTTTAAAGTTCAGTTATTCTTTCAAATTGTTTGCAAACAGTATTTTTTTTGAGTGGTTTTGAACGAGTACATATTCAGTTTTACTATTTGTGGCCGGAGTTCTAATAAAAAAATACCTACATAATTCATTTACAATTTCTTAGTGTAATTTTCACATTGGTTTCTACAGGATAATTTGTACTGTGTGTTTTTTTCTGAAGTGTTTGTTCAACAAGGTAAGTCAAATTATTATAGTGTTGGAAAGTTTTGATAGACCATTAAGATACTATTACAAAAGAATAGAAATAGAATAACAGTATTTTTTATTTTCAGTTGAATTTTTGTTTCAAACCATGCCGGCAATGAGAGGTACAAACTTGAATCGCAGAACCCGTAATGCCTCAAGTCAAAGAAATAGAAGAGCAACTCTAACTGATGAGCAACGTGAAACGCGGAATGAAGTTAAACGGAATCGATGGAACCGAAACCAACAATATAGAAGTGTTGCTTTTAACCCCTATAGTGCTGCATTTGATTATAACAGAAATGGACTACAGTACAATAAATTTTATGCCAACTTTTAAGGTAAGTGTATTGAAAAATATTTACCACTATTGTTGACAGTTTTCAATTGTAATGGTGTATCATTTGAAATGGCTTAAAGTACATTTGTAGCTCTGTGAATACCTTTTAGTAGCCAAAAGGAATTGTGTTAAAAAAGTTGATAGGGGAAATGGTAGTGCTCACAAAGTATTTTGAGTGTCACTTCTTGGTTTTAACAATTCACTTTACAATATGTATATGTAATACAGGAATGTTTACCTTTGCAGATTCAAGGACAAATATATCATTGAACTTATCACCAGTGCCAGTCAGTGACTATAAATTTTTCAAAATTAAGTTCATGGGCGATTCAGGAAAACAAGTTGATCAGCGTTGTGCACACAAATATTCTGTGAAAAGACCAGTTGTTTTACACCGGTGTAACAATCAAATGCAGCGTGTGTCCGAAACACATCAAACATATATAAATATATTTTATCTTATTTTGGAAAGGTGAAGATGGGTATTATTTTTAATGAAGATGATAAATCCAGTCACAGGGAAATAAAAAATTTAAGTTTTTAATGTTTATTATAACTTTAAGAAATTTATATAATTTTATCACAAAAAAATGTTTCTAGGTTCTGAAACTAACAAAAAAGTTAGTTCAATGAATTATTATTCATACAGGCTTATGGTTGGAGAAGTTGAGGTCAATCACATCTTAATATGTTAGCGTCTCTGTCACCAATATGCTGTTGATATGTAAAAGTGGAAACTGAGTGATTAATGTTTATCAGGTTGAACCAGGCAAAACTCCATTGAGGAATAAGGAAATTAACTTCATTCAGATAAGAATGCTACAGATATTTCTTTATTATAGGGTGATACGAAGTTCGCCGGGCAGCTAGTGATATATAATATGTTCATTGATATCATAAAAGTGCTGTCATCAATCAATATATCCATTTCATATTGACATTATGTTACCAAGAAAAATATATTGTTTTACATATTATTATGACACATTATACTTAAGTAATGTATGGAAAGTATTTTTTTATATTTAGTAGTAAACCTATTATTAGAATATACAGGAACTTTTGACATGTAGCAGACATGTCAAAAATTTTACCAATTTTAACATACAAGTTGGTAATAAAAATATTATTTATGATTTTATGTAATACACACATAGTAATAGCTACATACATTCATAATACAAGAATAATTACCAATGTACTTTTGTGAGGACTGGTTTTAGCTTAGATATTTTGTATACATTTAAACAAATAAGTTGTAATGTGTATGTATTTAAAAAGATATTTTTAATTTTTTTCCAAACTAATTGGAGATAATAACAGAATATTTATCGTCAAAAATATTTATAAAATGTCAATATTCATAATAATATAATATATTAAAATGTACCAATTTACAATATTTCACTTTTTTCTTTCCTTTTGTAGTAAAATTTACATTAAGTTGTATGAGTTGTGTTTCAAAATTATTATAGGTGTAGGAATAGATGTCATCAAAATTAATTAATTTTCAGAAAAATAGTGTAAAATGAATAACTATTTAATTTCTCCCACACTGAAAATTTGTCAAGAATAATCTAAATTTATTAATTAATAAAATAATATCGATCTATGCGTTGAAAATAAGATTATATATATTTAATTGTTCCAGATCTTCCACGTTTTGTGGGTCCAGGATCAAATGTAACTGTAGCAGTCGGCAGAGATGCTGCACTCACTTGCAGAGTTGATAACTTACAATCGTTTAAGGTAATTCCAACAAAGTATTCACGATTTCATTGTCTGTCATTAATAATACTGTAAAATAAAATTAACATTCGCAAGAGAACAAAAGACATCGCGACCCTAACAAAAATCTTGAATACACAACATTTATCAAAAGCGACTGAATAAACATGATCGTTGAGAAATTAAAAAAACGTCCCTTAATAACTTGTCCATTAATCAAAAGACGAACAATTGTACATAATTTATAAGGAAAATTGATCTTTGTGGAATATGAAGTGTTATTTAACTTTGCCAAGCCATTTTTTATGGCTGACGATATTTTGGTTGTCGGATATGAAGGTTTTTATTCTCGGTTTGTATAAGTAAGAACTCAAACCAGAGATTATAAGTATAAAAAAGTAATCTTCATTAACACTTCCGAATATCATTCAGTTATAGTCTAGATGTATCAATACTTTGTAGATTTTTCTTATGAACCATTTAATAATATTAAATTTTTTACTAGGTGGCATGGTTGAGAGTGGATACGCAGACTATTTTGACGATAGCTGGTCATGTTATTACCAAGAATCATCGAATAAGTGTTCAACACGGAGATGGCGCGTGGACTTTGGGCTTGAGAGACGTTAGCCCTACAGATGGAGGGCGGTACATGTGTCAAGTGAATACTGAACCTATGATGAGTCAGACTCATTTACTACAGGTTGTGGGTTAGTAAATATCATTTTACCTCAAGGTGTCTACACTACTCCGTATCCCCCTATATTTACGGTTTAAAATCACTTTATTTCTCTAGATTATAATCACTTCGAGGAGAAATAAATAAACTTAACAAATCAGTTATAATTCAAAAAAAAAAAACAGTGAATATGTGCGTAAATTTCATTAATAATTGTCTAGTGAATTTATATTTTAACATTTACATTTGTTATTGAGTATAAGGCCGGCTTACATGCTGTTATAAAATTTTCAAAACATTATTTTTTAAAATATGTAGTATTATTTAATAACATTACCTTTGAAAATGTGATCCTTAAGTAATTTCTTATAAATATTTATTGTTTTTGCGTCTTTTATATAATTTGGCAATGAATTATAAATTTTTAATGAGTTAATCATTCGCAAATTCTACTTAAAAAATATTCAAAAATATAGTACGTCATAACAGGTATTTTAATGATATTTTAGGACATTTCCAACTGTCTATCAAAGAAAGGGATACGATTAAATTTGTTTTATTTTTTATAAATATATATTCATTTCATAAACATACTTGCAAATAGAAAAGAAAGTTAAAATGATATAAAATGAATCATGAAAAGAATTTAAGAATTTATCTTGAATACTTTGCAAGTCAAATACAGCTGAACCGGCTAAATAAAGCCGATTTAAACTTTAAAAAGATAAAAAGCTTTTATGTAATCTAAATTCATGGCAATAGAAGAGAAAAGCTTTCCTGAACTTTCAGTTCAAACTTATGATGTCGATGATAAACATTTTGGAAACTATCCTCAAGAAACTACCGAGTCAACGGAAATAAACTTAGCGAAACTCTTCCGAACTACTCGTTCCAGTTTATTTGATTAAATACCAAAAGTCCTTTGCTTGTTCAGACTACATAAGTGTAGAAATTCAATAAAGATACCGAAGTCATTACCAAAAGAAATATTATTACATGTTGTTACCAAAGTGTAAATGATCAAACATAATTCCATAGAATGTTTTGATTTATTTTTTGATTCAGTGAAGACTTTTTTTATTTAATTTTATTTCAGAAAATGGAGACAAAAAATAATTTCATGAGTATTTGATATTGAATATTTACTTAGAATATATTATTATTTCTTAGCGTTATAATGTTTTTTTTATGAGACAGGAGGCAAACGAGCAGAGTACTTCCCCAGTCTACCCCACCCTGATGTGTTATCATCTGGCTATGTTATCTGACCATACTAGCCTCTACCACTTTTAAAATGATTAACGCCACTTATTAATAGACGCAAAACCTGTTATTTCACATCAAAGACTAAGAAATTAAAAGGAGTTATATGACAAATACATAGATATCAAATTTTGACTGACGACTTAGTAGAATAATTGAGTCAAGCTCCCGACTTTATTGGTTTAAAACAATTATTTTTAAGTAATTGACGAAACTTTAATTAGAAAGAAATGCTAACAATTCTGTTCGATGTTTTTATTGTGTTATCAGTTTTGGCCTTTGTACTGATTAATTATTGTTTGAAATGTATTAAAAATGTTGACGCTTCCAATTCTAATCTCATGAGAAGTAAAAGTCATGATAGGAGTAATGATTTTCTTTAAACACGTATCATAAAATTTTAATGCAATAACATCTTATCACTGCTACCCATACTGTTTAGAATAGCTAGTTTTATTAGTTTCATTTACTAATGTGAAGCCGACCGAGAAAAGTATTTTTGTCCATTTAACTTTGATAATATCATATTATTTCGGTGAAAAGCTAACTTGAGTGTGAACTCAAGCATGATTTGAGACCAAAGAAAAAAACAGCAAACAATATAAAAATCGGAAAATCATTTGCAAACAGTATTCAATGTTTCTCACAAAGGACATTTTTCAAACGGCAGTCCCTATCATTTTGTTACACGCCCATCGATTCTTCTCAATTGCTGTCAATTTATACGATTCACTCAGCCTTTGTAAGCACTCGAGTTTTTGTGTTGAAATATGTGTATAAAAGGTGTAATTTGATAGAATATTTTTCATAATTGATTGAGTATATTGGAATATAATTTACATCATACGGTGAGCTCAATCGCGATCTTCTAATAAGTTCTAACTATTTCATGACTTTCATATTAAAGGATTTAAATGAATTAGAATTACCCTTGAATTATAATGAGTTAAATTTGAATGAATTGTTTCAGTCCCGCCTGACATAGACGATGAAGTAAGTAGCAGCGAGGTTATAGTCAAAGAAGCAGATAACGCGTCCCTCCGATGTGTTGCATCCGGAGTTCCCCCACCTACAGTCACTTGGAGAAGGGAAGATTCTAGACATTTCAAAATTGATAACCACACATTAAGTAAGTTCTATTTATGAACCATCTTTTATTTTCCCTTCTATGAGAATGTTCTGAAAGAGATCAACTATTACAGAGATTTGTATTTTGTTTTCATTCAAATTCGATCTATTAATAAGTTTGAAATTATATTGTAATTCATTAATTTATGTTTTGTTAATTTTATTCTATCTTTAAATAATGATAGTTCATATTAAATACATAACTATATATAATTGATTAAAGCTCTATAATAGAACCAAATCACTTCTTATGGAGCAAGTTTGTTTAATTTTTTTAATTCATTCCGTTCAGCTAAAATATTTTGAGAAACATACAATTTATCAGTTTTAATGAAATAACAAAAATATGCGGTAAAAAACCAGATAGGTGTATCAATAAAGTTTCCTTGCAAATCCTAGTTATCTACGCTAGAAACGGTTTTTATGTTCAATGTAGATTGACTTCTATTTGTACGTTACGAAGGCTGTTGTTTGCATGAAGATATTTATGCTTAGATAATGTGGTGCTCCGCAAAAACAATCCCATTGTGCGTAGGTATAGGTAGACAGAACTAACGGTTACTGTTGCTAAACAAAGCAAAAGTTCCTCGCCTGTGGTTGCAAATTGAATGTAAACACAACTAATTTGCATTTCGAGTTTAAATAAACTTTTGCAAGTTGGAGTATTGTCACGCTAAAAGTTTTCTTTGCATAACCTGTTTATTTTTCACAATAGATATATTCCTTTTGAGTTTTCTCGATTTGTTAGTGAGTAAGTAAGTACGTCTACTTATACTCTTTCTATTGAAAAATACCTACATGTTTAATATAATATAGTTCCTCGATATTTATAGCAGGCATTATTCATTTATTTAACCTTTTAAACTTAGAGAAATATAATAAATTTTATTTATAGTTTAAGTTTGAATGGAATTTTGCTACAGAATTTTATGCCAGTCTAAGTGAAAACAAAGTCATCTGTCATCGATTTGAATATTACATTAGAAAAAAGTAACAAAAACTCTGTTAACTTTCAAGTAATTTGTTAAGTAATCTTAATTAATTTTAAACAAACTTATTTTGTGCAAGTAATATGCTCAAAATGTTCTTAGCAATTACAATCTCACCGTAAAGGAACTTTCTCAGCTTCAAACTAACAACGAACGCCGAACTTCTTCAGAGCAGTTTAATCAATCAATATTCATCTAGTTTGTCTATTTGAGTTAACAATTGAAAATCATTTGTAGTTTGACGTTGTCTTCAATAGAAACGTGCTTCTAGTTTATTATATTCAGAGTTATTTTCGAACATAATAGCATATCACAATAGTTAAACAATATGAAACGAAAATAAATTGAATGGAACAAAATTGATTTTGAATAGATACATTATTATTATTTTATATTGTCTTGTTACATCTTATTATTTTACACGTGTATCAGAATGTTTATTATACGGTGGGTCAAAAATATAAAATTTTATGATGTATTTTACTGATATAGATAAAAATTTTGTTTCATAATAAATATGTGATTTACATGATATATTAAAAACAAAATTTTACTAAAACAAAAATACACTTCCGACTATATAAAACACATGACAATTTAAAAGTTACCGTCTCATATATTTCTCTATTTTCTTAAAGACTCACTTGAAACGTTAAAACTGTGCCAACACATCGTTCAGAATACATCTCGCCTCGTTTTCTTAATGGCTACAAATAAAGACAGGTTTTTGTTTTTCATTCCCTTTGCAAAACTGACTATGTTGCGACGGAAAGTATTGTTGTAAATAACCGTTATCTGAATTCTTACTTTGATGAAAGTATAAAAAAGAACGTAATAGGTTTTATATACGAGATTCTTTTGTCAAGAGACATGTCGTTTTCTCTGAGTGACACTATTCAATTCCTATCTCTTATCCCCATAATCGATTTCAGTGAAATAAACATTCCACGATACGAAATTGTATTGTATGTGACCACAATATCCTTTAGTATTATACCAAAAAATCACTTATAAATAAAGAATATTATACAGTATGAAAATTTCATATATTTTAAACCAAAAACTAAAAAATAAAATCTTGTTTCAGTATCAAAACACAGCGGTGAATGGCTAAATTTGACTGGAATTGAACGAGTTACGTCCGGCTCGTACCTCTGTATAGCCACAAATGGTATTCCTCCGTCAGTTAGCAAGAGGATACAAATAAACGTGATGTGTGAGTCCAATCAATAGCGAATACCGAAATTAAATTGTGTGACTTAAAAGCTGATACAGAAAGGCATTCCCCTAAATGAAATTGCCACTGACAAGTTGGAAATGACGCGCTCTGTTGATGCGAACGCGTAGGATGAATGAGTGGCTAACGTTAAACTAACGAAACATGGTCGCCAATGTTTGTAGATATTATTCTTTGTACGATCTGTTAGTAGAGGTTTAGTGCCGATTAAGTAAATAGTTCGCAAAATAATATTGTAATGTCTATAGATTTATATTATTATACATTTTCTGACTATACTATAAATTTGTAATATAATATTTTGAATACGCATCGAAGTTAGTACTGTATGAAGATGTTCTTTATAATATTCTTGGTGATCTTTGGAAAAGATAGTATAATATTTAAAAAGGTTATTTTAAAATATAAAAATACAGAAAATTCCATTTAAATTAACTGGCAATCTGGCAATTATCAACTCAAAGCTAACTAAAACTATCATTTCATTCTGTCGTAAACATGGCCATGGCAAATAAATCTAAGCAGCTTGTTTACAATGAAAATTTTATCAGGAATTTAAGATTATTTAAATTTTATTAGGATTATGTAAATTTTATTAAGAAAAAAACTGTCAGATAATGTTACGGACTATTTATTTCTAGCAATATTTAATTTAAACTTGTTTACTATGTATGTGTAAAAAATACACACCTTTTATGATTTGCTACTAAAAATAACATTCTTTGATAGTAACGTAACACATCATCTTTTCAAAGATATTAGAAACTAACGCATTATAGATATTTTTTTTTGAAATTATTTAGTAGACATAATAATAAAAGTATCTCAACAGTTCCTCCTTCGGTGTGGGCTGGCCGGGTCGCTATTCGAGCATTGGCTCACAGCGCGGCGACGCTTACTTGCACTTCAGAAGCATATCCTACACCAAATGTATACTGGATGCTTAATGGAGAACAGAGGCTAGTTAACGGTAAGATAAATATAATTATAATTCAATATATATAATAATATAACATTTTATTAGTTCTAGATGTTTCTCTAAAAAAATCTCCGGTAAAGCTATTACTTAAAAAAATACATATTTGTAATTCAATATAATTGATTGAAATAGTTGGGACACAATATCGCGAGTTAGATTGGTTGGAATATCGGTTTTCGGATTCATATTGTGCTGTAAGCCTGTTATGTCTTTTTATTGGAAGCGGTATTGATCCCAATCATTTGCAATAAATATATGTATAAAAGCTACTGCAGAAATATTTTGTAAGCGTTGTGTTAATATGCGAAACGAATATTTGAAAGTATTACTCAGCAGTCTCAAAGGTGCGTTCTCATAAATATGTCAGAATAGGAAATTCTTAAGTGGAATAACTCAGAGAACATTACAAGGCGTTTTAACAATTTTCCGTTATATTTTAAAAAGTCTTTATCCGTATAATCACGATGCTCATTTATCATTTCACTGGTTGTCATGTTTAAGTCGCTGGCCATTCGCCAATGTGTCCAGGAGCTTCTTGCTATGATTGATTTCACTAGTGGAGCCAACTCGTTATTTACACATTTTTGAATGAAACCCTCATTTGTATGAATTTGTCTGCCAAAATTCGTACAATAGATGATCCGATAATAATTTTCTATCTCACAAAATGGCACATGAATTATTTTATAAATAATGAATGATTCAATTAAATGTATCTAAAAAATCTTGCTAAGTTTCTTTGGTGTGCTTTAAGTTTTAAAATAATAACTTTGTCTTTTCTACACCATACTTAGGACCGGACTTTTATATTTTTGGACCGTGGTTTATTAGAAAAGTTGTAAATTCAGCTGGTGACTTTAAAAACACAATATCCATATTTGTAGAAAAATGTTGATTGTACATATTTGTCTGCATTGATAAACATGAATCAAAAATCTAATATAAATTTCTATTTCATTGTAATATCTCAGTCGATATTGTAACATTTCATAACACGAGTTTCTACAATTTACACACATATTGCCCTAATGAAATACAATCTCTCACAAGACTGTACTACTTGGCATCTGGTGTTATATTCTATCTGCAACAATGGATATTAGAGGTCGGCCAGACAAAGGACGTGCAAATAGTTCGCAATGCGAGAAGTTGTACCAAATTTCACCCATTACATTTTAATAGTGCCAGCTTTTGGCATACTAATTTAGTCTTGAATAGAGCACTTTTTACTAACGCCAAAATATGGAGCCTTTAATTTACGCTTTCTGCTTATTTTAAAGGTTCTCCGTTCTTTATGTTTAGGCTTTATTATTAAAGTTTAAATAGCAGACATATTACAGATATACTACATTTTAAATTTGTAAAATATTTATTTATTTAAAGAACAAAACTTTTTCATGCTCAATAAACATATAATATATTTGAAACTTGAGGTTTGAAGACGGCTCAGTGTTCTATTTTAAGATTCTTATTATGTCATCCAGGTTCAAAGTATAAAATAAGCAAAATAAGCCGAGGTTATCGTCATACTCTGACGCTGCAAGTGAACGAGATGACAAGAGATGATGCTGGAGCTTACCGCTGTCATGTTGAAAACAATATGGGGAAAACACAAGCCGAGATGTTTCTACATTGTGAGTTTAGTTTAAATTAATGGACCCTGCGTTATACGTACAATGAATTCGGCTGCTCGTTCTATTATAAATATTGTTATAATTAGTTGTTGTATAAAGAAACTTTAGTTATTTTCCTTAAAATATCATGACACAACTCCCATTTAATAAAATTATATGAAATAAGTTTAAAATGAATAATAATAATATTGTTTTAATTTTCCAGCACAAGTTTTTACTATCAAATTATTACCTTTAGCCTTGCGAATACAATAACGGTACACCGAATAATTTCATGGACGTATTGCATATGTTATCAATAAAATTTCGTTTGATTAAAATTAATGTTAACAGCCACAACATAATTTCAGTATTGACCACAACCACAACGACTACCACCACTACCACGCCGCCTCCGACCACAACCACAACGCCTCCGACCACAACTACTATGTCAACATGTGAGTATATCTTTATATATATAAAAATTTCGTGTCACGTGTTTGTCCGCGATGGACTCCTAAACTACTAAACCGATTTTAAATTTGATTTGCATTCCGTGTGCATTTTGATCCAACTTGAAAGATAGGATAGCTTACATCTCAATTTATAGTCACAATATTATTGTATTGCAAATTATTTGTCTATTAAAGAAAATTATTTGCTTTATTACAATTATCTGTTGACTGAGTTAAGTATTCGATAGATGGCGCTAAGTTTAAAAGTACAAACGTCATATATGAGCGACTATTTAATACATAATAGCATAACCACTACGTGTTTCTGAGCCTAAGGTATAACCTAACTTTATTTATTAAAAAACCGTAACAGATATTTCTTGATTATAGGGCGATACGACGTTCGCTGGGTCTTCTAGTAATTAATAAAATATTATTACAACTTTTCTAAAAACCTATGAAATATTCTCGTATTTGGCCCTTCAACTTTTTTCAAATTTAGAATAATTTCAAGCTCATCATATTATCCAGTTAATTTCCAAAATGTATAGCTAGACATATAGCGATACATATGAAATATGTGGTTGTACTAGTTAAATGATTACCTAAAATTAGCATGGGAAGTGCCCTATTACTAGCATTACACTAGTTTATTATTGTCTGTCAATGATCTATTTACTTGAGTATAAATTCATTAGTCCACTCTAATTATTTATTTTAATGTCTAGCCATATTAAAAAAAAAAACATTTAATATTTAAGATAATGTTCTATGCGTAAAGATTTTTTGGTATTATTTCTTAATGGACTAAACCTACTGTGGATATTTTATACAAAATACATAGTTCAATTATTATTTTCTTTACCGAGGTTTTTTATATTCATTAAAATTTCATGTTTTTTACAATAAAATAAAAAAATATTACCATTCAGATGAAAATGAAATTTTGTATAGAAAAAAAAATACGATTCTTATTCATAACAATTTGTGATATCTTTAACCGTTACAATCACATTATTTCTTTCAAAATAATAAATAAAATAGAAAAATAAGACAGTTCACTAGAAAATACTTTTTATCTCGAGGCTTTAATGTTACTAACATTGAATTGAATTATTTTTTTATTTAAAAACAGAAATATAAATCAGGAGCTCCAAAGGGTCCAGCATGTTTTATGGTCCCTAGAGAAAATCTTTTTCTTATGAAATAATGGTACACTGTCAAGTTAATGGAACGATGGATATCTTTTGCTTCGCTTTCATTTTATCCTTTGGTCAAGGTTTTTTAGTTAGAAAATAAAACGGACTAAAGACAACATCTTTTAAAGAAAATGTGGCAAGATATTTCTATATCTCAATTGAATAAATAATTTTCCCATTCATTATTATTTGTTTAGCTGAAACTTCGGTTTAATTAGAAAAAGTTATTTTATTTTCAACTATGGGAACGAAAGCATCATCTATTTAGTTATAAAATCCTATTAAATATTTTTCAAAGTCACCTCTACAACGTTTAAAAATATTCCAATTAAGTATTTATTACTTGATTGTCAATTTAACTAAGACACGATATACTGTCTAAGTTTTCTTTTTATAATAACAGTATTTACAGGTACAATATATTAATATCTTTGTTTCTTTCTTATATTTTTTATGGCCACGAATATTACAACCATTTTACGAAATTCCTATACATTTTCTATCAAACGTATTAATTGTGATATTAGTCGGGTCTTTATTTTAATTTTACTTTTAATTACTTTTTAAAATATTGTGATTGTGTGGCCTCCATCGCTTGCAATAGTTTATTTCATATTCGTATCGGTTGACTGAACACACTTTGTTATATCAATTTCAAAACGTGTGCTGGAATTGATTATTATATGAATGTTAAAAAAAATATATTAATATATCGCACCAACTTCTATCTCCTTCTCACAGTAGAGGTTTACTCAAGGACATTCTTATTCTTCTTCTACCTGGCAATTCCCCAGCTATAGCCAGGGTCTGCCTTACATGTTGTGAAAGGTTTTGGCTATTTATTTTTATGACCGGCCGCCCAACTGACATCATACCTCTTTGGGAATCAGCATTAATCAGTGATGTATAAATACCCTTAGAAAGTACACATGACTCAGAAAAATCACATTGGTACCTACTTGCCCGGACCAGGATCGAACCCGCGCCTTCATGCATGAGAGGCGGGCCTTTTAACCACTAGGCCACCACTGACTTAAAAGACATTCTTATTAACTACAAAAATACTAAATATAATTCATTTTCCATATTTACGTCTCATAATGTATTAAAATTACGTGTGTCGTTCTCCAATAGAAAAACAAATTTCTAAAATCCATAGTAATTTTATTCAGAGCATGAAACTGAAATAAATTATTGGTTAACAGCCAATAATAATAAAGAAATTATATAGCTTCACATTAGTTACATTGTACGATATAATAAAAAAATTTAGTATTTTCTCAAGATATAAAAAATAGTTCTAAAAAAAAGTACTGAAAGAAATAAAAATACATTTATTAATATGACGATGATTGTTGCCCGTTAACAATAAAAACGATATTTTTACCTTCTGTCCATATTTCCATGCAATACCATTAAAAAAAATCCAGAAGCGTAGTCATTAAATTTGTAAAAAACTTATATTTTAATATACTCGTATATCGTGGCACATAGAGTTATAAAGTTTCCATTCATATTTCAACAGTATTCAATGCCTTTTATAAAACAAAAAGATTTTAAGTCACTGTGTTAAAACTCTTTACAAGCGACCTCTAAAACATTGTTTTATATCTCACATTAAAAATATGTTTAAATCACATTGTATCTTACAATCTTAGTTTGTGTATAAAATTTCAGTTTTTATACCTACATAAATATATATGATTGAAATTGCAAAAAATCAAAATTCAAGTATAATTTGTCAAACTTTTGAATACCGCATATATTTAGATCAGATGATTACATTTTGTCCTCTGTTATAGTACTACAACATTAAACATATTCATAAATTACATTTTGTCACAAATAGCGGTCACGAACAAAATTAGGTGATAAAGTTTAGAATATTATGCTCTGTATATTTAATGCTATTAAAATTAAACATTAATAGTTCTTCAAAATAAACTACTGGAACTTTGAAATTTGAAATAAATGTAACAAATTATAGTATCTTACGTAATTTTTGATATAAAATACATATATACCTACAAACCTTACGTTAATAACTTATGAATTAATTCTAGATTTAAAAAACAAAGGCGTTAATGCACCGTTCCATATAACAATATTTTAAGCCGCAAACTCATTCAGGCATTATGTATAAGTATTTATTATACTCTCACTTGTAGTGATGCATTACGCGGTGACCTACTTACTTAAGAGCAACCGACAGTTTCCCTTCGAAAAGTCAAAATGACGTAGTGTAGACTTACGGTCTTAGGTATATGACGCGTGGAAATTTTACATAACATACTCTACTCGTAAAAGTAATGTACAATGACTTCCTAACGTTTCAAAACAGATTCTAAGAGATTCTGCTTACAAAAGACAAGAACAGTTACAATAATAAACTCTTCTTTCTTTATTTCGAGCTATTTTACGTCCACACTAACAGCTTGTTTTGATTGTATTGCAATAACAAATAAAGTCGTAGTGGCTTAGTGGTTAAAGGCCCGTATCTCGTGCATGAGGGTGCGGGTTCGAAACCTGGCAAGTAATAACGTAATTTTTCCGAGTCATATGATACTTTCTAAGATTACTTAGACACCACTGACAGACGGTGAAAGAAAACATCTTATAATTACAAATTATAAGTTTGAAATCGCCAAACAGCCTTGAACAAGCGTGGTGATTAATGCTCTAATCTTCTCCATATAAGAAGAGGCCTTTGCTTAGCAGTGGGCTCTGATAGGCTGATGATGATAATGATGATGATGACATAAATAAAAAGATAAATAGATCGCAAACATACAAAAATTTATATTGAATAGTTTCTATCCGTATGGATAATTATAATGTATTTTTTGCCACAGATGACGTTGGTCAATTGGAACAACTTCACCGAGGTGTGATGGAAGACCCTCGCGAAGACACGTACGTCGTGCTCAGTCAACATCAGATGCAAAACCTTGGTAAATATAAGACTTTTCACGTCCTATATTTAGTATTTATTAATTATAAATGAAAAGTTACCATAATTCAACGTTTTCCATTGTTCTCTCAGATCTGTATTGTATTTTTTGTTATTTTCGTTCCCATGATAATATACATGTTCACAAAGTAAAACAAAATGAAGTGGAAATAGTAACGAACACGGTCTTTATATATTCACAAACGTACCTTTATGTATTTACATTAAAATCGATAACGAAAAATTTTATCTGTTAACTTTTGTTATGTTTATTATCTCTTAAAATATACCAATAAAATTAACGTTAGCGTAATTAGAGTTATAAAATTTAGTTGTTTTTATTACTTACTAATAAAAGTTAAACACCTATTAATTAATTATTGGTAATGCTTTTGAATGATCTCTTCACTCGTGTAATTTATTATTGGAACAAAAAGTAAAAAGCAGGTTGATTAATATAAATTCTAAACTTTTCCGAGCTAAAATGAGTTTTCTAACCAAACTTGAAGTGTATTAATTATCTTTCTTCCTGCCAGAAACTCGATTTACTTGGTTGGCCACTTAAGACTATAATTACACTTGACTTAAACTTAACTTTTCTGACTACAAAATGTGAATATATAGTAAATGTTTAAACTGGAGAAATTTTATACTTATAGTCAAATTTATTTGGTCAGAATTTTATTTTATCACAAAAATTATTTAAAATATCTTCATAGTTAATTATTGCGAAAACATAAAGATTAATTTCTCGTTCCAATAATTAATTAATACCTCAACATATAATTCATTTGATCAATATAATTAATTAGTCTTTCTGAATAAATTTAATTCATTATTACTATTTTTTTTATACTTCATAAAATCTTTGAATATAATATCAAGAAAAATTGCTGATAGTTTGTAGTGCTTGTGCCAGCTTTAGCCAGGATTTGTCTTACATGTTGTGAATAATTTCGGCAATTTTTTTTTACGACCGGCCGCCTGCCTGACATCAACCCTCTTTTGGAAAAAAAAAATACAACATAGATCTTTTAGTGCTTGTAATTATGGTTATATAACTTTGTTGTTAGGTTTAGTATACCAAAATATAGTTAGTATTTTGGTATACTAAACCCGTAGTATACGTATTCTATAGTATTAGTATACGTAGTATACGTAGTTTATCTTAATTTTTGTTATTATATTAGAAATGGTGACGACAATATGACCGGAGGCCCGCGGAGAGTGGGGCGCGGCGTGGCCTTTACCTTCCGCCTGTGCTTCACAATCCGCGTATACATTCACAACCATCGCCCTTATACTTCTATATGCAGTGATACATTAGGTCAGTGACTTAAGATGGTGATAATGAAATCATTGTATTGTTATTCGATCGTAATGTTAGCTTGGAATAAAATCCAAAAAAAATATTTATAGTGAAACATTCAAAGCATATTTCAGTTTAGTTTCGAGAATATGTAGATTCGATCACTGCTAATGTCTTTGAATATTTCATTGTTTTATTTGTATAATTATTTCATTAAAATATCTCGATATTTGATGAATGTTAAAATAATTTCGATATTAGTTAACATTTGTTATGTAATGTGTCATATTGCGGAATTTAGTAGATTAGATAATATTTAATTTGGATGACTATACGTGTAACGCGATCCACAACGACTGCTACGAGTATTAAATTGATATGTATTATATAGTTAAATATAATATAATATCCTTGATTTAAGTTAACGCTGTAAATAATAATTACAAACTAGTCACATCAGACTAAAAGAAACACGCCATTCGCTTCTGGTTGTCTTTGTATACTTTTTATGATTCTTAAAATTAAGTACTTTTTTGTAAGATTTATTTTCTTCTTTGCAGTTTAAAGCCAATAAATTCCCTATTCAATTTATTCGCCAAAGAGCTGGTGATTTTTTTTTGGTAATTAATATTGAAATATAACATTTGTATCAATTGTGGCTTTAACAATAAAAATAATAATGTATATACTACATATGTAATGAAAATACCTATAGAAATTAAATAAATTGTATTTTCTTCTCTAGTATACCGTTTAAAATAATGAAGACCTCAGATGTCTGTGAAAAATATAAAACTTAATTAATTTATTGAAACATGCAAAGTAAAATTGTGTTACTATAAATATAACACAGCAAGCAGGATAAATGTTTTAATTTTTAGAGACAACATTAAATAAGAATATCAAATGTTTGTATTTTTATTTCTGAACAAAAAGAAAAACTTAACTTACTTCGGTTTAAATATTGTCTCATTTTAAAAATGTTTCTTCAAATATTTTGTCGTTTCAAACTTAAACAAAAATATTGTGTGTGTATTTCCATGTATTTATTTATAACACTCTTAAAATGTAATGTAAATTATTAGCATGTAAAGATTGTATGAATTCGTTGTGAAATATAAGTTTTGGAAATAAAATTTGTCTTCTTCCTTATCGGGGTTTACTGAAATTGAAATCTAAGAGACCCTTGTCAATCGCCTGTTCAAAATCCCTGAAATATTCTCAACTTGTCCTAAATACATGATATTAAATAAAAAAGAAGTAAGAAAGGGAAAGTAATATTGTTTTCGGGTGTAACTATTCTGGCCTTTATTTGTTTACCCCAGCTTCGATAGAAAGAGCAAAAGTTTGTAATTGTCTCAGTGTTACAGAAGAATAAAATTTAATGGCAAGACTACATATTTCATTTTGGTGTCATTACTAAAGCCAGCAACTATTTAATAACTTAATATGGTACTCAATAAAAAAGTGGATCAAATTAAAAAGTTTCATCATTTGAAGAACATGAAAGAAATTTCTAGTAAGTATGGAAATAAATATATTATTATAGAAATTTAATCTCTCAATTAAAGTGTATTTTCATTGTAATTTAATCATAGGGTCATTAAATTTTAGTAATCATATCAAATCGTTAGTTTGATTGGTGACCATAATACGAGTACGTAAACCTGAAATAATAGATCCTGATAAAATATCATATATCATTTAAGAGACCGACCCAAATTTTCCCTCCGACCTGTATAAGCCTGTATTAAATTTAGTCGCCTTTCCAGGAGGCATCTCATGAAAAATAATATCTTCATGTGATATAATAACAAACAAAATCAACACATCTCGTCTGCCCGTGATCACGGTTGCTGAAAAGTAATCCAAACTTCAGGATTATGTAGTTTTTTTAATAATAAAGTACGCGAAGCATAATCCGAAAAAAATTAGTTTCATTTAAATGAATTCTCGCGATTGGCTTAGATATTATTAAACAAAATCCAACCACAAAATGAGATTATTACTTTGGTAGATCACTTTTGCTTGATAATAATCGAAATGTCTCAATATTATTTTGTTAATATAAAGTTATCGGTGATGCTGACTACAAACCCGATATTCATGTTGGCTAAGATGTTAAACATCCGAGTACGTGTTTCTGTGTCAGTACGTGAGCATCCTTTGTAAGGTATTTCGGGAGGATTGGATTAAATAAACCTGTAAAGGAATTTTGGTAAAGTCATTCTGTGTGTCATTTTCACAATAGATAAGCAATAACAAGGAATAACCAACAACGTATATCGAGTAAAATTATTATGGATATATAAATTACTAAAAGACCCAAATAATATAATATTTAATCATGATATACATTTGATGTTTATATAGGCACATGTACGCAGGCTAAGTACTTCTTAAATAAATACAGCATTTTTTAAATCTTGTTCTGGTTTATAAATACCTGTTTCAGTGTTTTCATGAGTTTATTAATTGGTTAGGTCTGAGTTAAAAAGAGATAATCTTTTTAAGTAAAATAGCTCATTTGTAAATTTGGTGTATTTCATAAAATATTATGTAGAAAAATTTCATAGCCGTAAAAATAAACTGCAGTAATCTGCATCTATTGAGACCGCTCGGTGAGAGTAATTAATCTTAAACGGCGTGCATTTTCTCCCAGCGGCGAGCTATGGTGGCGCATAAAATTACAATAAAACAGAATTATCTCGAGCTAATGGCGCAAGGTGCTTATTTATAGCACCTGAGTTATAAATTCAAACGTTTTGGCTATTTGGATATCGTAGCCCAGACTCATTTGAAAGTTATAATACGGGAGATAGTTTCAGTGAGCTACTTTTATTTAAATTCCTCTCATTTACTTTGATATTTGCTTTCTAGTCTTTCAATTGTTATATCTGTTCGATTATATGTTTAAAAGATATTGTTTTTATCGCCCTTAGCATGCAGGTAAGTTGCCGCTGTAACTGGGAACCTTTATATGTTGGCGCAGCTACAACTACCAATCATCAGGTTAGTATGGTCCCATCCTTTTTGGGGATATATCTCTATGAATCGGTCTCAAGAGCCTCGTCTTTTAATATCCTGAACCAAAAACAGTTGCGGTTAAGGATAAGGTTCTATGGTGATATTTGGTCCTCTTTACGTCCCATCGAATATAGAGAAATATCTGGAATTAATAATTTCTGCTTTCGTAAAATTCGGTTGAATACCTTGAAGCCTTCAAATTTCACAACATTATTCTAATGCAGTGTACGATTTGCAAGCGAACTTTGACTCTATTTACGATTCATATTAAAGAATATTATATCAACTAAAATAAAAAGTAAAGAAAATCTGTTTTTCTAAGTTCAATTTAAAATAATGTTTTTTTTATTTCTCATCCTGTACCCTGGCTAAGAAATTCTAAAATGTCCTATTAACTATCAAGGCCATGCATTTATTATGAGTTCTATAGAAATATACTTACTTGAATTGAAGAAATAAAGCTATCCATATTTTTTATAGAAAACTAAAAGAATATGTCACGGTATCAATAAAGTTCAATTATCCAATCACAGATTTTTTGCAAATACAATAAAACGAGGAAGACATTATCTCTGTCGCCAAAACAAACAAAGAAAATCGGCAAACAACGCGTCCACCTCAAAACAATATCTCTAAAGCCAAGTTTATTTAATAAAATCTATCAAAAGAGATGGCTATCAAAACCCTCCCCTTCAATTTGTTCGGAATCACGTTCAAT